ACAAGAGAAAGGATATCTTTTTGTTCCATTTCCCTCCACATCAAAATGCATGAAAAAGTACCAATAACAGCTAAAATCATTCCTCAAGTTCGTAGGTACTCAAAATTGTCAAAGCGATTGCTACAGAAATTTTCTGCAGAAATTCAACATCAGTCGACCTTACTTTGATCTAGTTACTGCAAATACTCCTCCATAAACTAAAAACTTTCATGTCAAAAAACAGAAAATAAACCCCCTTAGAAAATCAAATAAAATTAACTTACTCTGGCATGGATGAATTCCTCAACCCTTCCATCTGAAAACCGGCCAAGAAGCCTAGGCCCCTGCCCATGTCTCGACATGCATTCAAAGGTCCTAATCTCGTCATCTCTGTTGAAAAACAACTCAACACCTTTCCCATAAATACGAACCAGAACCTTCTTATGGTGATCGCCATTCTTCGTCGGCCAATTTATCTGGTAGACCTCGTTTGTCATGGCGCCTTTCAATGGGAACACCTGCAATGATTCCATGTCCTCCACAACATCTCCCCATCTAATCGCTACTTTTTGCAGAGCCTTCTTTAATTCTTCCGGTGCGGAACTACCAATGACCTTGTTAATCTTTATTGCCATTTTCTTATGCGTAGCTGCAGACGGTGGTAAACTTTGCCTGTTTGATTGAAAGGATTAAAGTCAATCCTCAGAAAATATCAAAAGAAAAACCCAGATGAGCCTGCTATTGATGGAAAATACCCAGTTGAGATAAAATCTGAAACGACGAAAAATCACCAGTAAATTCAACGAAAAGGAAAAAGAAAGCTCACGCAAGAAAGGAAAAAAAGACTACGTCCAAGAAAGTTGCACAACTGACACTAAAGATCTTCAACTCTTTCTTTTATATAGCAATCAAAGTCAATCAAACAGGGAATCAATGAATTTTCTTTTTAAAAATTTATTTCAAGAAATTGCCGTTTGGTTTCGAGGAAAGAGTGAGTTTCCAGAAATGAAATTATATAGGCAGGTGAAAAACCGTGTGTTCCCCTTTATGGGCCAACACAGGTGGAGGAGAGAAGGCCCTCACAGTTGGCGGTGAGTTTGAGGGGAGAAACAGACCACTCATGACTCGACACGTGGCAAGTACCGATCTTGCAGTCAATGATGGTGTGATAGTTGCTATTTGACAGACATTTAACTGAATTGACGAGGCTGGTGTGCCGCTACGGGGTTCTCGATCCAGGGGAGTTTTGTGGTGCATCGCTGTCACGAATTTTCGAAATTTAGGGATGCGCAAGAATCACACTGTTGCTGCGTTGTAGGTGATAATATCTTGTGGGACCCACCACAGATTCAGAAGAATCTTACATATTTTTTCAAACTAAAAAAAGTTAGTTACTTTTAAATTATATTATTGAAACTAAATTAGCCAATGTCGATCGGATTATTAGTTCAAGAAATTTACATATCACATTATAAATATAACACTCGAATAATTATAGGATTAATAATTAAATAGTATGTCCGACAAAGAAGGAGGTGGCGGCCTGATGCTTCGATGTAGTGTGGATGCTTTTATATGTTTTGTTTGTTTTATATGATTACGGTTGAATTGAAAAACTGAAAATTAAAGTTAAACGAAAAATTGTGTGATTAAGTGAATGAACGAAACAGCAGCCTTACGGGATATCTTAGAAGATGGTAGACGGACTGAGTACATAGAGAACTCTACCGTAAACATTATCTCATACCGAACGAGATATCGAAATTTAATTATTTGGCGCTCATATCGGACGGGATATGGAAACAACCCGTTTCACCTTTATATCGGGTAAAATATCGAAGTTTAGTAATTTGACGCTCATACTGGACGGGATATGAGAACGACCTATTAATTGAAAATGTTAAAGGACATTATTCACGCGTTGTAGGATTGGTGTTGTTCCTCTACGCCTAGGACACCAGAATATTGAACTATGAACGAAGAAAGGCATGCGAGAAAAGCATATTGGCTAGTGATTGTGAGGCTCCAATTCTTGACTAGAGGGGACACCAAAGGCCTCCGCCCTTCCATTTATTGGATAGATATCTCTATGAACCCCCATAGATACCAGTAAGCTGATAAAAGAGAAAATTATTATTCCAACCGATTGCATATGAAATTATAAAATGTACTATGTAATTATTTATATAGGTTGTTTTTATAAATATCGTTACGATACGTAGACGGTAAATGATTTTATTTATGATAAATGACTTTACCAAATTAAGAGCTCCATTAATTATTTTTATTATTTCTAACAACCTTCATTTCGGTATTGGTGAGTAGCGTGATATTTTTACTAGGATAATGTAACTTATTCATTTATTAACCATTACAAATCAAGAGAATTAGGATCTAGAGTCCGATTTACAGAAGGGTTGCGAGTACGATGTCAATTTTATTTATTTTTCAGTTATTTCTTTAATTTATCATATTTATCTCAAAATGATCATTTTCGTATTCTTTTTTGGTATTTTAAGTCATTGTGTAAGTAATATAAACTCAAATTATTTATTTCACTTATGCACTTAATTTATAATTTATTTCATTTGAAATTCCTGATTCTGTTACATTCTAAGTCATTAGCTGTCTTAATTTAAAAGAAATCAATCACAATTATAACCATAGTTAAATGAAGACAAACCGCATGTAATTGTTACCAAATTCAACATTAAGATAACCATAAGACAATACATCAAAGTCTATTTCTATAGAAGGAAAAAAATTCATAAAATCAATTTATTTAAATGTTAAAATAATTAAAAAAAATTATTATTTATGTATTTTCCACGTGGAAATTAATAAATTTAAATATTCACATATTTGTAAATAAATTATATATAAAAAAAAAGAGATTGGAATAAGTGGAGATTACTTTTTGTTTAATCAAGAATAATTTTGTGTGGTAAGTAAATAAAGACATTTTATTTCTTTTTTTTATGGGTGTTTGCTTTCCTTTAGAATATTTTATTTTAAAAATTAATTATTCGACTTTTATTATTTTAATTAATGAAGTAATTAAAATTATTTTAGACTAATTAATGAAGTAATGATTGAGTGTATAACCTAATTGGGGTTTCAATTCAAAGATGCAAAATTTAATGATGTAGATACCAATATAAAGTGGTGATTGTGTGTTTGTTCTTTTTATTGTGGGATTTTCATATAAATATTCCAAGACATCTTGCAAAAGAATGCTCCTCTAGTAATGATTATATAAAACGATTATGATCAAGCTAGTAATTTATAATTTTTGTCTATATATATATGTTATTAAAGTCTAAAGTGGTGATAACCCAATAGTTAAAAATTAGTACTTTTTATGTTAAAAAAAAACAAAAAATGCCAAATAATTTAAAATTATGTTCAAAATATTATATTCGGTATATATACATACATGTCTACACAAGATTCACATGCATACGAAGAATAAATGTTTTCTGCTTTCATCTTGGCTACACGATAATTAAGAAGAATACTCGAGAGTAGTTTGGTAAAAATATTTACTATTTGTTGTCTGCTAGTGATATATTTGTTTGCTAGACTCCAATTCTAAATTTTTTTACGGACTAAATGACAATCTAATTTTATATGTCTTGTTCCTTCATGGAACACTTGATTGATAATTATGTGCGTCACTGTTCTTAAGTCATTAATCAACTTTATATTGCTTCAAATTATAATTATATCATTGACATATACTGATGTTGCAATGAGCTTTTTGCACACTTTTGCAAATAAGTTGTAGTGGGCGGCCTTTGGCCGTGTGAAAACCCCTTTTTAACATTGAAACCCAATAGCTTTGCATACCCTCGTCATGATGCCTACTTGAATTCATATATGTTTTTAAGCAGTTTTCACGTTTTTTAGTCTTTTTTTATTCGGATATCTGAGTAACATCTTCATTTAAATTTTCTCATTCAAGTTTCATGTAAGAAAAAAGAACATAGTTAAATGAGAGATATATTTCTTTATGTGCTAAAGAGATATAGAGACAGAAATATATACATGATATATATGTCAACTAAAGAAACTAGAGAGTAAGAAAATAAAAAAAAATTCTAAGTCATTAATTATCTTAATTTAGAGGAAATCAAATATACACACAAAAAATTTAGCCATAATAAGAATTACGTTTTACTCAATATTACATAGGTAAGATATTATAGTTTTTTTTTTTTTGTAAAGCTGACTTAAATTTCAATTCCATTTATTATCATAAACTAAAATATTAAAATTATAATTTATTTAATAATTTGATGAATGGATTATATTCCATTACAGAAGTAATTTATATTTTGGGATTACTTTATCATTCCAAACTTTTTGAAAACAAAATTCTAATAAAGTTTTGATCTTGTTTGTATTTCAAATGATTCTATAAATGAAAGCGATAATTTTATGCATTCGAAAAAATAAGCCAGTTGAACAACACTTATTGTGCCTTTAAATCCTAATGCATATATACATACATATACACACATGATTCACATGTATACCCACAACAAGGTGTTGCCACCTGATCTTAATTAGTGAGTTCATATAATGAACACTTCGACATCTCCCCTCAAGATGATGGAGAATAGATGTTTTCTGTTTCCATATTGACTACATTAAAATTGAAAAAAATACTTGAGAGTAGTTTGGTGAAAATGTTTATTATATGTTATTTGCTATTAATATATTTACTTGCTACACTCTTATTCTGAATTTTTTCACGAACCACGTGACAGTCTAATTTTGTGTCTCGTTTTTTCATAAAATACTTGATTGATTATTATGTGAGTCACTACACTTAAGTCATCAATCAACTTCATGTTATCTTAAACAATAATTATATTATCGACATATACCAATTTTGTAATGAGTTTTACTGAGTTTATGTATGCTTATTATCTCTCACTTACAGATGATGTAGTACTATAAACTGGATCAGAGCTGCGTGCTTCCAAACGTAGCGTGTAGAAGAGACGGAGCAGTGAGTATGATTAGTGAAACAGAATAATTACGTAGTTGGTAGCAAATAACTCACTTTAAAACGAGAAATTGTGAATTCGTAAGTTACTGTATCGATGAATATACAATGGAAAAATTTTAAAAATTTAAATGATTTGACTTGGATATCTTTTATATGTATGACTGAATTTGTTTATAAGATAATGCATATTATTTAATAATTTAATGAATATTTATATTGCATTGCAGATATAATTTATCTTTTGTGATTATTTTATTTTTCTAAGCTTTGACTTTTAAATTCTTACTTTTTGCATAATGTCAAAAAATAGGTTAACAAACAGAAATTATATAATTTCTAAAGGAGAACATCATTATGTGCAGTTACTTAGTCTAGCATATTATTATTATTATAGCATGACATAGATTTGAAACGTTTTTATTTTCAAACGTTTTTTTTTTTTGGAGTCTAGAAAGTTAATGAACGGCCCGAAGCCTTGTGCCCGCTGCCCATTCTCTGGATATAATTTATCTAGTTTACATAATTGGCCCCATGAATTTCGTGAATCCCTTCGATTTAAAGGCGGCGTAGCAGGGGTGTTTCGGTAAATTAAACCTCTTCCTCTTTCTTGAGATTACTCGCAAGATCTGATCTTCCCTCTACCTCCGGTTGCAGCATCCAAGCAACTTCTGCGATTCTTTCTCTGTAAATATCTATATGTATATACGTATCTGTATTAGTCACCGCGTGTGATTGTTGAAGATTGTTCTAGTAATAATTTGTTACGGAATTTCATAGCTCAAGACAGCCCCTTCTGGTAACTTTTTTTTTTTTTTTTAATGAGAACTCCATTTTTATGGTGATCGCGATTCTTCGTCGGCCAATTTATCTGGTAGAACTCGTTTGTCATGGCGCTTTTCAATGGGAACACCTGCAATGATTCCACGTCCTCCACAACATCTCCCCATTTAGTCGCTACTTTTTGCAGAGCTTTCTTTAATTCTTCCGGTGCGGAACTGCCAATGACCTTGTTAATCTTTATTGCCATTTTCTTATGCGTAGATACAGACGGTGGTAAACATTTGCCTGTTTGATTGAAAGGATTGAAGTCAATCCTCAGAAAATATCAAAAGAAAAACCCAGATGAGCCTGCTATTGATGGAAAATACCCAGTTGAGATATAATATGAAACGTCGAAAATCACCAGTAAATTCAACGAAAAGGAAAAAAGAAACATCATTTAAGAAAGAAAACAAGAGACTACGTCCAAGAAAGTTGCAGAACTATCACTAAAAGATCTTCAACTCTTTTCTTTTTATATAGCAATCAAAGTCAATCAAACAGGGAATCGATGAATTTTCTTTTTTTAAAATTTAATTTCAAGAAATTGCCGTTTGGTTTTCGAGGAAAGAGTGAGTTTCCAGAAATGAAATTATATAGGCAGGTGAAAAACCGTGTGTTCACCTTTATGGGCCAACACAGGTGGAGGAGAGAAGGCCCTCACAGTTGGCGGTGAGTTTGAGGGGAGAAACAGACCACTCATGACTCGACACGTGGCCCTTGCCGACCTTGCAGTCAAGTTGCTATTTCACAGACATTTAACTGAATTGACGACGTTAGTGTGCCGCCACGGGGTTCTCGATCCAGGAGTTTTTGTTATTATTATTATAGCATGAAACAAAATCGAAACGTTTTTTTTTTTTTTTTTTGAGGCTGGAAAGTTAATAAACGGCCCACAGCGCAGTCTCTGGACATGATTATCAAGTTTACATAATTGCCCCTACTAATTTCCCAGATTCCTTCAGTTTAAACA